CATGTTCTCTTTCACTCCCCTATGGGGGTTCTTTTCACCTTTCCCTCACGGTACTTTTTCGCTATCGGTTACCCAGGAGTATTTAGCCTTACGAGGTGGTCCTCGCAAATTCACACAGGATTTCTCGTGTCCCCGAAATCATTAAAATGGATCTTGAAGGAATGACACCTAAATTAGAAGCAGAAATTGGGATACCAATTGTTGTAGCTAGGGCTAATGGATTAGATTATGCTTTTACACAAGGAGAAGACACAGTATTAGCAGCTATTGTTCACCGTTGTCCGAATTATAAGCTCCAAAATAAGACTTATTTCAATGATAATGATACCCAAGAAAACATAACTGGATTTTTATTTTTACAATTAAGAAAAAACAATATTTGTCCCACTTCTGCAAAAAAATAATAATCATTGAATTATTGTATATTAATAAATAGACTATATTAATAAATAAACTATATTCTTTATTAAATTTATATTATACTTATACTATATATATTACTACAAATATTGCACTCTAAAATAATCGTGATTCGTGTATCTTTACTTTTAGCCATACTTATTTGAGTGAAATTCAATTTATTCAAATTGTAAATAAGAAGTAATTGAGATAGAAGTTGTTATAAAAATTCTAAATAAGTACTTAGTAATATTCAACGAATAAGCTTGAATCATACTTACAAAAATAGATGCATCCATGCTAGAGATTACCGTATCTCCTATTGTAATTCCACGAGGGTATAAWATATATYTTTTTTCTCCATCTTCGTAATTTACTAAACATATATGGGAATTTCTATTAGGATCATATTCGATACTTTTGATTGTGCCATAAATCCCAATTTTTTTTCTTCGAAAATCGATTTTTCTGTATAATCGTTTATGTCCACCACCCCTATGTCGGCTAGTAATGATGCCTTGATTGTTACGTCCTTTTTTAGAAATTTTTCCAGAAGTTAAAGATTTTTCAGGTTTGAGATAACTAAGATTTTTGTAATCAGAAACTGATCTGTTTCGTGTTCCTGGTGTGTAGGYTTTATATATTCGAATACCCATATAGAGAATTAAATAAATTTCAAAGTATTAAAAATAGAATTGTTTGTAAAAATAAGTATATTTTTTGATTGAAGTATGTAAATTGATTATAAACATAGAACATAAAATAATAGAAATCAAAAGGAATTTTCCAATTTATTATTTATGAGTTGGTATATTATTGATGAATACAGTTGCAACTTCTCGTTTTGGGGAGCTTTGACTTGTGTTTGCTTTTTTTGGGTGGTTTCAACAAGTTTTTAGTTGGTTCTTACGTCTCTTTCGAGATGAATAAATAGAAAACTCAATAAGTAAATAAAATACAATCGATTATCTACCCAAAATGAAATAAAGTCCCAAAGACCTATGATGGTAATATATATGGTTAACCCAATTAACATAACAAAAGCATAATGGTACTCAAAGCCACTTTGAAGTGTACTTATTTGCTTTGCTAATTTTTGAAATGTGGTGGAAATTCCATAGGGACCCATGGCTTAATTGGTGCTAGCTTATTCTTTTTAGCAGGTACTACTTATGACCGTGTTCGAACAGTTCGTTTAAGTGAAATGGGTGGTATTGCATTAAAAATGCCAAAAATGTTTTCTATGTTTACAGGATTCTCATTAGCTTCTTTAGCTCTCCCAACTATGAGTGGATTTGTTGCAGAAATGATGKTTTTTTTAGGAATCATAAGTAGTACTTTTTATTCTCCATCTTTTCGATGTTTTGTCATTTTTTTTCAAGCTTTAGGAGTAATACTAACTCCTATTTATCTTTTAAGTATGTTACGTCAAATGTTTTATGGAGTTGATCAATTCCATTTTGAATCATTTTTTTTTATGGATAGTGGGCCTCGTGAAGTTTTCATCATAATTTCTTTATTCATTCCAGTAATTATAATAGGTTTATATCCGAATTTCATCCTTTCAATATGGAAAAATTTCTTTTTTTGAGGGGGGGGAGTAAGAGGTTGGACAAAGTTGAATCGTAGCCCGGTAACACGTCATTGTACTCATCATGTTGACACTTGTTGTACCAGTGCCTGACTTAATTATGAGCTGTTTTCAAATGATTATAATGAACAAATGGTAATTCAATTCATGTAGTGAATGAATCGAGGAACATTTTAGTCTGGAGTGAGATCTGCATCTGGCTTGCGGTTTCTCCTCCCACCTACTGAATAAGGATGCATGTGGTTATCTTGGAGTTTGAAACTATGACACTGTGCATCTCATTCTTCAAGTCCAAACTTTCGGAGAGCGAATGGGGTTCGGAGGTCTTCTGCTCTTGTGTGGCAATCAACAGGCAGTGGGGTTCTTTCTCCTTCTTTGGAATTCAACTTGAATTGATCTCCTTGCAAGGAAGATGAGCGATATCGAACTTCAGAAATCAAATAGCATCATACACATGAGACCAGGTAGTCGTGACCACCAATAGCAGAATTGCATCACGAGTTTCACCAAATAAGAGCACAGCAAAAACTCATAATTGACAATGCTGGAATAGTCTCATCATCATCAATGAAGAACCAATGTTGATATCCTATCAGGCGCTCGGCGCCCTGACTACGAATGGCAGATCCTATCTAGCCTAGACTACAATGCTGATGATGACGTCTACAGCTCCCCGAAGTACGAGCAGATCTCGGCCAATGCCGTACCCTTCAAGCACCAGGTATGTCTCTCGTATCACTCCCAACCTCGTTCCCCAACTCACAGATGCCACATGCACCCAAGGACCACCATGCGCCCCATGCAGCATATAGCAGCGCAGCTTGGCTATGGCTGCCTTCTCCTTCCAGCTCGCCCGTGAGCACGTGAGCGCTGGCCAGCGTTAGCGCAGCAACGCTTGCGCAGCATGCAGCTAGTGCCCGGATGCTGAATGAGTGGGCAGGCCCTTTCCTAAATGGAAGCGGCCTGCCTGTCTTGCGTGCAGCCTGGCTGCGCTGGGCCCCTGCCCAGAAGCTTCCGGTAGGCCCACAGAGACTAAGCCCCAGTCCAAATGGATTCAGGCCCAGGGCCTGTGACAGTTACCCGTGCCCAACTGTTTACAGGCTGAGTTGGGTCCATGCTGCGTATCTCGCCCAGGGCCTGACTCAGATGCGTTTGATAAAGGAGGCCAGGGCCTGGGCGCTTTCAACCAACTGCACAACTGCCTGAATTTCCCCAGTTGCGTGTTGACCCCAAAATTGGCCTGTAGGCCTCGGTCGAGTCTGCCTTCACTTAGGGCGGCCGATTGAGCTGAACATACCCTCATACCCCCCCCCGAATACCCCTATAGCACCCTTATTCCCCCTTATACCCCCCCGCACCCTATATGCCCCCTTATACCCACCCTTATATACACCTTATACCCCCCCTTATACCCACCCTAAACACTTGCCTGGCTGCACGGCCGGGTAGGACCTCTGGGCGGGGTTCTGGGTGGCCCCAACGTAAAAGAAGACTGACTGAGCGAGCCATTTACTCGATCCTGTTCTGTAGGAAGTTCTTGCTGAGGGGAGTCAATTCCTTCTTTGACTTTCTGAGGGGCCTTGAGGGATGGACGGAGGGTTAGGGYTGGTGAAGGGGATTGGGGTGGGCACGGAATGTTTGAGTCATTGCTCATTGGTTGTTGGCTTTGGTTGGGCAAGAGCGATGTTCATTTTTTTCCCTTTTGCATTTTCTATGTCTGAGTTTTGCATAGCACCTTATTTAATTGCATGGCTTCTTTCCATGGTAACGGCGGAGCTGGACACCAGACACTTCCGGACTATCTTCCGGACTAAGTATCTGGACCATACTTGCGGCCCATTTATGCGCTGGGCATGCGCCGTGCGCCATGCGCGCGCGGCAGGTGCACGTGCACCGCGTGCATTTCACACCTGCATACGCCATGCGCCATGCGCACATGCCAGGTGTGCATGCGCTGGTGCGTGGGCATCTGCAGCCCGTTCGCAGGAGTGGTGGGCCAGATGCACCACAATTTTTTTTTTTTTTTTTTTTTTTAGGCCTCCCCCTGAACATAGGGCCCAATAGGGCGTATCGAGGCCTTGTGCCTCGCATCCTCCCTGGTAAACCATCGATCTTCCTTTGGATCAGTATGATGTTTGAACCGAACCCGATACTGCATCTTCGGTTTCGGAGGACGTCCCCTTCCTGTAGGTCTTGGAACTGGCATTTCCTTGTGGTCAACGATGTCGTCGATACCGACCTCTCCATCCATGGTTGGGGGCAGCATTGAGCGACGAGAGGGAAACTGATCTGTTTCTTTAAAAGGTGCAAGCTTTGAGGCGTGGAAAACAGGGTAAGTGCGTAGGTGACCAGGGATGCGAATAACATAAGAAGGGCCATCCGGTTCATCCCCAACGACATCTAAAACCTTTCATGGTCCAAAGTACTGTGGCATGAGCTTGCAGGATCTCCTGTGCTCCTGTCCCAGTTCTGAGGACTTAACCCAGACTCTTTCTCCTACCTGAAATGTAGATGGGCGGTGGTGTTTGTTCTCTGACTCTATCATCGCCGCCTGTGCTTTATGCATCTGCTCAACAACCTGCTGCATCAGGCGCTCATACCGATAAGCAAACTCTGAGGCCCCTGGTGCAACAGATGACTGATTCTCAGGTAGTAAGAAGTCCAAAGGTAGTCTAGGCTTGAAAGTCAATAGCAAGTTGTTCGGGCTCACTTCCGTAGCGTTGTGCACAACGTTGTTGTACAGGCTGGCGATGAGAGCAAGTTTCTCATCCCAGTCTACCTGATTTGGCTTGATGTAATGCCTCAGCAGGTGTTGTACAGCGCGGTTCAACTGCTCTGCCTGCCCATTCGCCTCTGGGTGATTGCCTGATGTCATGTGCAACTGCGTGCCCTGTTCTGCAGCTGCAGCTTTCCACAGTTCACTGGTGAATCGCACATCCCGGTCACTAACTATAGACTTAGGCAGTCCAAAATCTCTGACTCAGTCTTCTTTGAATAGCTTGATCGCGTACTCGGTCTTTGCTGTTTCTGGCATGGCCACTAACCTAGCATACTTACTAAATCTATCCATGATGACGTAGATGTACCTCATGCCACTCTTGCTGGTGACTAGCGTATCCATGAAATCCATGGACAACCTTTCACCAGGCCTTTCCGGAATGGGAAGGGGCTTGAGCAGCCCAAGAGGAGCATGTGTCCGGGGCTTGTCACGTTGACAAACTTGACAAGTCTCGACATGCAGTTTGGCATCTCTCATCATCGTGGGCCACCAGAACCGCTGCAACAGATTGGCTGCAGTTGCAACTCAAACTCGGCCTTCTCAAGGAACAGCAAGCCGTTGACCAACTCAAACTCGACAAAAGTCACCTTGTCCTTCGCCTCGAGTCTGCGTATGATCTAAGATATGAACTGGTCCTCACGGTAGGCTTCCACCAAGAGCGAGTAACATCGTCCGCAAGCCCAGACTAAGTGATCAGCGCACCGGAGAAGTCTGGCCTACGCGAAAGCGCGTCAGCAACTTTGTTGTACTCACCTTTGAGGTACTGGGGCTCGAAGTCATACTGCTCGATGACTTCGATCCAGCGTTTCAGCGCATCAGAGAGCATAGACCGAGTTCTCATCCACTTCAGAGTCTGATGATCAGTCCTGACGATGAAGAACCTCCGAAGGAGATAGTGCCTCCAATGGGTTAGCGCTTTATAGATCGCGTACAACTCCTTCTCATAGGTGGACTTAGCCAACTTATGAGAGGGCATCTTTTTGGACGTGTACTCCATTGGCCTAAACTTTGGCCCCTTCTGCTGCGCGAGCACGGCGCCTATGCCATATTGGCTAGCATCTGTGGTAACTTTAAACGGCTTGTCAGGATCAGGAAGTTTCAAGACCTTATGGTGTGTCAACGCATGCTTCAAATGTCTGAAAGCAGCCTCACACCTGTTTGTCCCCTCCCATGGGGTGTCAAGGCGAGTCAGGTCCGTCAAAGGGGCGACAACTATGCTATAGTTCTTCACAAAATTGTGATAGTAGCCGGTCATCCCTAAGAAAGACCTCATCTCAGTCACAGACTGAGGACGCGGCCAGTCACGAATGCTGACCACCTTCACGTCATCGGGCTTCAAACCCTCCGCGGAAATCTCATGACCCAAGTACAAGATCCGGGTGCGACCAAACTCGCATTTCTCCTCGTTGATCTTGAACTTGTGCTGCCGAAGGAGACTGAGGACTTTGTTTAAGTGTGCAACGTGCTCCTCGACAGTCCTACTAAAAATAAGTATGTCATCGAGGTACACGATGACAAACTTATCCAAGTAGTCGTGAAATATCCGATTCATAGCGTGCTGAAAGGTGCCAGGAGCATTGCAAAGGCCGAAAGGCATCACCACAAACTCATACAGACTGTACCTGGTCTGAAAAGCGGTTTTGTGCTGATCCTCGGACCGTATTGCAATCTAATGGTACCCGTACTTCAGATCTATCGTACTGAAGTACTGACACTCTTGCACTCTATCTAGGAAATGGTCGATCCGCGATAGGGGTTCTCGGTTCTTGACAGTGATGGCATTGAGGCCCCTATGGTCAATGCACATTCTCATAGTTCCCCCTTCTTCACCACAAATAAGACTGGAGATCCGTAAGGGGAGACACTCGGTCGGATCCAACCGTTCTCTATGAGTTCCTTGAGCTGCCGGCGAAGCTCGTTAAGCTCGCTTGGAGACATCCGATAGATCCTACCCTCCGGGATGCTAGACCCTGGGATAATCTCTATCGCGTGGACGAACTCCCTCTCGACAACCCCTGGCGGCTCTTCAAATAGATCAGGGTACTTGGCAACTACTCCCTCTATCTTCGGCGGCATTTTCACCGTCTCGCTTGCAGCAGAGACATAGACTACATACATACCCTCCTCCGAATTTTGCTTATAATAGTTATAGAACGCGGCCATACACATGCATCCGTAGGACTCAATCAGACTACTAGCCTTGAACTTACGTAATCTGGCGGTCTCCCCACCCGACAAAGTGTGTTTGACCACTTTTCGGTCCAAGTCAAACTGGGGCTGTGCAACGGAGAGGTAGTACATACCTAACAAGATATCCATAGGGAGATCATCGCTCACTAGGAACGAGGCGCGATGTCTCAGTTCCCCTTCCACGTACGGGAAAAGACACTCAATGTCCTGAAGGTAGTCGTTGACTACCATGCGCTGTTTGTTGGCACAGGTCGACTCCACAAGTCGACTCAGGCGCTGCACTTGCCCCTGTAAGCGCAGCCTCTCAACGGCCGCCGATGACTACCTCGCTGACGAACATCTCACCCTTAGGGCCTTTAGCCAATGCCGTCCAAGAAGCTAGTGGGTCTGATCTAGACCACTCCTCCTCTAGCTCCTCTAATGACTCAAACACATTCATCGAACAAAGGCTCGATGGGTCTGAATGTGTTTGCAAAACGACGATGGAGTCAGTAGCTTAGGCCATCTCTCGAGATGGTGAGGGTGTATCCACCACCTCGACCCTAGCAGGAACAACTACTATTCCTATTGGCCCGACGTGTTTCCCGGAGCGGTGCTAGAACTGCTGGCCACACTGCTACCAACGGGAGCGGAGGATCCCAACGCCTGCCCCATCGTAGGCGGGATCTTCTCGATCACCTTCTTATTTCGACACTTGAATTGGTTATGGCCATGTTGGCCACAATGGATACCGCGTGTACCGATCTCTCCACACGTGCTCACTTAGACCCGCTTTCTCCCATGGAGGAGCGTTGGGGTCGACTTGACTCCTAGATCCGGAACCTCCACGGCGTCTACCGGTCGCCTTATCTTTCTGAGCTACGACAACGACGACTACACCCCCTGAAGCTTCTACGCTGCGAGCCTCTGAACCCACTCCCGCCTGCAACTCGTCATCCAACTCGATGGTAGAACCATCGTTGTCGACGAACATTATGCGTCCCTTCGCTTTCCAGTTGGGAGGCAGTGTCTTTCTCCTACCATCCATCATGGGCGTCTGACCATGCCCTATATTTGCTTCAAGGTCTAGGGCGTTCTTGCTAAACTAGGGGAAGTTGTGCATGTTGATGTTGGCCTCACCTGCCAATTGATTCCTGAGAGGCGCAGAAAAGCATCTCAGGTAGGAGGTCAGTAAAACCTGGGGGTCATAGCGCACCCCAGGATACATGTTAGACGCTCTACTACGTCTGTGGCCTCCCTTACTGACTTAAACTGCCTTGTATGCAGAGTCAGGATCGCATCAGTGGCCTTTTGGGCCTCCTGAGGATCATGCCACCTGTCTTCCACCAACTTGAGGAAGTCATCCAGTTTCTGGGTGACCGCTCAAGCGCGGAAGTCATGACTGTATCCCTGCAATTGCACTAAACCACTCAACCATCTTGCTGCACTCCCCTCTAAATAGGAGGCAGCCACAAGCACTTCCTCGTGCGGCAAGGTCATTTTACACTTAACACATAGACTGGCACTGCCCTCAACCATGTGTCAAGGTCTTCGCCCCTCTTGTCCCCTGTGAAGGGTTTAGGAGCGGGGATGGTCGTCTTCGGAACCCATTGACTTTGTCCCGATACCTTTACCATTCCGGGCTGTGGACCCTGAGGAGCAGGCTGCTGCACTATCATCTGCTGCTGGGACTGTGTACCCTGCGGCTGTACAGGCTGCAAGACAACAAGCTGCCCGCTTACGGCAACCTACGACGGAGGTTGGGAGAACACTGTCTGTACAGGAACCTGAACACTAGGACCTGCTGAGAACCCTCCTGCAAACGACATACCCACGGAAACGGTTTGGACCGATACTGGGGAGATATATGGGGATACCCCAGTCACCGGTGGGATAAAAGGAGGTTGTACAAGGGGCCAGACACTGGGCCCGGACAGCGATGGTGCTGCCTGCGCTCGCCCGACCAGCAAGGCCAGACTCTGCTGGATGTCTTGAAGGAGAGCCGTGTGGTGGTCCTGCATCTCTACAACACCTAGCAGGGCTGTCTGCAACGTCCTCACATCTGCATCCATGTGCGTCAGGTCCATCCTCTCTAACTCGCTAATGTCCGCTTCTCTCCGTTGCATCCTAACTCTTCTTCTAATCATTCTTTCCTTCTCCGCTTTTATCTCTACTAAAGCCCTCTGGAGTTGTGCCTCCTACAGTGCTGCCTGCTGTATGGCGATCTCATCGGAAGTCAACACTATAGGCTGGCTTGCCATGAAACCAATGGACTGACTCAGGGTCTGCGCGACCGTTCACCCTACGGCCCCTAAACTGCTAGTTTGGGAACTCTGCTGCGCAGCAGTTGCCATGGCTGCTGAAGCAGCGGTTTCACTTGCGAATGCCCTGCTAGCCTCTGCTGCCCTAGCTCTTCGCTGCTGCTGCTGTCTCTCCCTAAGCTGGCGGAACAGTAACCTATCACCCTTAGGTCCTAATGCCACGTGGGCAGTTGGGCGTCTAGCCGATCGCAAGATGGTATCCCTATCGCTCACAAGCTACAGAGTTGTACACAATCTGCACTAGGTCACTCTTTGATGCCTACCGCAGCGTAGTGCACTGACGGATTACATTACTCGATGGCTGCGTCAGAGTAGATACATTTGGGTCCAACAGGTAAGTTCAGATTCCTACAAATAAAAACTATTTTACTTTGATTAGTCCGCAAACAGAAAGCACAATGAACAAATAGGAGTTCTAACTATGCTGTTTGTCAGATGTTAATGGCTGTACATCTAACTAATCAAAATAAAAATAGAATCATTTGTTGGGTCTGTTTGCAGAGTGGAATCTTTCCCAAACTTATCACATGGAATCTACCCCTCCCTCAGTTCTTCCTGAATGTCTCTCGTCGTTAATGTCCTTGAGCAATCCGGACAGCGTGCGTGTCTAAAGGTGTGCACACGGCCCACCCCTGTGCCCGAGCCCTGTTGAGCTGGCCAGCCCCGCAGTGTGTTTATCCTTGCGTGCAGTGAGCCTTACACCGACCGATTGGCTGATCAGGAGGCGTTTACATGGACGGCCCCCGAAGTCCTCAAGAATTCTTTAACGTCGCAGACAGGACGACGATCACAACCAATGGAAGGTACCCCACCGGTGCTTATTTATAGACGCCCGGTGTCGTCTATCCCATAGGGCTGGCTTGCCCCTCAGAACCCCTCTACAGTGCAGCGAGCAGACAAAGGACAAAGCAACAAAGCATGCGTGCTCTACTCCCGGTGGGTTGGCATGGTGACCGTGACCCAGTGCTTCGTCCAGGGCCCTTCAGATAGCACCGCCCTCTCCTTCCAGATGCTCCACGTGAAGACTGGCGACTCTCAAGGGTGAGCGCACACGACTCCTCACATGAGAGGACTCTCAAGACAGAACACACATCCTCATAGTAAGAAGTGTCGAAGAGGGTAGATAAGGTTAGGTGCACCGTACCTCAAAATAGCTGCCCCCAACCACAAATATTCTCACCAAGTGACCCGATGTCGATTGTGATGACCAATCCCTGCTTCGGCACAACCAGCATTGCACCACCGTTCCACCTCAGCATCAATCACACATCGGATAGTTCTCATCACACTGCGAACACCCAGTATCACACCACGTAGCCTTCCTGGCGAACCCCTCTCCACCGGGGTCGCCTACTTATCTTCGCCCTCCTCACTACACACGTCCCACGACACGGTCGCTCACCACACACACCGCGTGCATGAACCACATTAGGCAGAAGACAAGTGCCAGATTAGCGCACCGAACCACAACTCCGATACCAAATTGCAAGGAAGATGAGCGATAGCGAACTTCAGAAATCAAACAGCATCATACACATGAGACCAGATAGTCATGATCTCGAACCAATAGCAGAATTGCATCACGAGTTTCACCAAACAAGAGCACGGCGAAAGCTCATAATTGACAATGCTGGAATAGTCTCATCATCATCAGCGAAGAACCAATGTTGATATCCTATCTGGCGCTCGGCGCCCAGACTACGAATGACAGATCCTATTTAGCCTAGATTACAATGCCGCTGATGACGTAAACAGCTCCCGAAGTACGAGCAGATCTCGGCCAATGCCGTACGCTTCAAGCACCAGGTATGTCTCTCGTATCACTCACAACCTCGTTCCCCAACTCACAGATGCCACATGCACCCAAGGACCACCATGCGCCCCATCCAGCATACAGCAGTGCAGCTCGGCTATGGCTGCCTGCCCCTTCCAGCTCGCCCGTGAGCGCGTGAGCGCTGGCCAGTGTTAGCGCAACATGCAGGCCGTGCCCGAACGCCGAATGCATGGGCAGGCCCTTTCCTAAATGGAAGCGGCCTGCCTGTCTTGCGTGCAGCCTGGCTGCGCTGAGCCCTCGCCCATAAGCTTCCGGTAGGCCCACAGAGGCTGAGCCCCAGTCCAAACGGATTCAGGCCCAGGGCCTGTGACAGTTACCCGTGCCCAAC